CACACACACACACACACACACACACACACACACACACACACACACACCTGCTGAGCACTCTGTCTCCATGACTGTCCCTGCCTCTCCGGGCATCAGTCAGCTTCTTGTTGGTGTTCAGGGCCGTCCACACCTTGGAGCCGTAGACGCAGCAGTCCAGAGCACTCTCTCCCTCCTTGTTCTTCTGAGTGATGTCAGCTCCACGAGACAGTAACAACCTGCAGATGGACGAGTTAGAGGCCCGCTGACTCGGGTTACAGAAGGTTCTTGTGTAACTCAACAACAATACAACACAGTAGGAAAAACTCTTTTCATGAATCTTGATGGATCCACCAATACGGGGGCGTTGAAGCTCTACCAATACCACCAGTACTGGGAAATTGTACACAGTATGGCGTGACTAGGGGACACTTTTGGGAACTAAAGATAATGCCTTTATTGTGCATGTACACACAACGTCAACAGTCAGATGGCTGTGCATTCTGGGAGAAGTGTCGGCCCCTTTCAATGCGACGCCCGTCAGTAAATTGAGCCCCGGTTCTGTCCGGTGTGCATCAGGGACAGGACGCCAGAAGAAAACAAACGTATGAATACCTGAACGTTCCATTTCAGATATCAAATGATATTTGGTTTACATGAGTATATCTGAAGTCAAGCATATTCCTACGCTTCAAAGCATTGCTGTTAAAATGAAGCTTTGAGGACTGTTCACACTCTTTGTTACATGTTTTCAGTTCTGCTGCTTCCATGCAATCATTAGCAGTGCAGGAGAAAGCATATTCAACATGTGCACGTGACTGAATGTGATCATTCAAGTATTCTAAATGTCCTCGAGCCGCCCATGAATGCAGAGTATTTATCTCTAACACTAACCGATCTGGATTGGGTACAGGTCTGTAGGTCTGTGTAACCCAGATTCCACACTCACGTCACACACTCCAGGTGGTTCTCTCTGGCAGCAACATGAAGCACGGAGTCACCGTGAACGTTGACAGCGTTGAGGTCACATCGGGCCTCCAGCAGAGCCAGGGCGATGTCATCACAGCCGGAGAGGGCCGCCCAGTGCAGGCAGACGTTCTCTTCCTGAGGAGGGAGCAGAGGAGAGGTGAGCACAGGGCTTTCTGCACCGCAGCCTCTCTGTTATGAGACGGATATGAGTCGGATCCACTAAACGCACACCTTCAAAGCTTCCAAAGTGATGGCGACAATCGGTGATATCCACCACCCTGGATATCAGTAGACTTTGCTTTGACTCAGCAGCTTCTCTAAACTCTGGTACCCTTTAACTTTAAAATATACCTCTTCAAGGTATGGGGGAAAAGTTTACATAATATTAATCCAGAAGATAGAAAGTGCGTGTTACTTACGATTATAATATATTATACTTAATCTCAATCTTAATATTGGTGTAAAACAGGTTTTCAATTCAAACGAAGAGGTCCAGTCATTAACTGGACCTCTGGATGTGTAAATGGCCTCCAATAGGCTGCCCTCCATCTATCAAATGAAACCAACAGTGTACATATCATGTCAATAAGTCCTGTGGGATACTTTAAACACACACATTCAACTAGTATGGCACTCTTAGAACAACTATCTTTACCGTGAATGAAACCAGTCCTAGAACAACGAACGAGACAGAATCTTATGAATAAATAAATAAATAGTGTGTCTTTTAGAAAAACTGCAAACAGGACACTGAGCAGCCCCTTTTCTTTCTCTTTATTTATGTTTTGAACTTGTTCTCTACTTCCTGTCCTAGAGAGAGAGATATGCATGTGACTGCCAAGCCACTAGTTTGAATCTTGTCTTGAATGGAGAGAGTGGGTACGTCCCAAGTCTCTTATTGGTCATGTCCTCGCTCCTCCATTAAACATGAAGCTGTTCTGCGCCGCCATATTGACGGCCGTCCCAAAGCTCTTAATTCTGCTCTGAGGAGCCATGAGCGAGGAGCGAGGAGGGAGGAGGGATCTCTGAGGAGCCATGAGCGAGGAGCGAGGAGGGAGGAGGGATCTCTGAGGAGCGAGGAGCGAGGAGGGATCTCTGAGGAGCCATGAGCGAGGAGGGATCTCTGAGGAGCCATGAGCGAGGAGGGATCTCTGAGGAGCCATGAGCGAGGAGGGATCTCTGAGGAGCCATGAGCGAGGAGGGAGGAGGGATCTCTGAGGAGCCATGAGGGAGGAGGGATCTCTGAGGAGCCATGAGCGAGGAGGGATCTCTGAGGAGCCATGAGGGAGGAGGGATCTCTGAGGAGCCATGAGCGAGGAGGGATCTCTGAGGAGCCATGAGCGAGGAGGGAGGAGGGATCTCTGAGGAGCCATGAGCGAGGAGGGATCTCTGAGGAGCCATGAGCAAGGACGCACGAGATCAGACTTCCAGGACATGTTTTAAGCAGCTGTGCTTACCGTCACTAAAAACAACCCTCTGTGGTCTGTGTCAGGGGTCCTTGGATGAGACCCAATCTTTTATTTGATCACTTAAAGTATCATTTACTTAAATCAAATATATTGTAATGATTGGCCAACAGTAGTTATACAGCACAATGACAGGGTTATGAATGCTGTCATCAGATCTTTTTATCACATACAAGAAGCTGACAGAGCTCCCAGTGCCCCACTGGTTCCCAGTGGACTGTGCTGTAATGCCAACCAGTCATGTTGCACTTTACATCCATTTGTTTTCATCACACGAGACATTTGTAAGGTCACGGTGACCTTTGACTACATTGGTAACTGGACTTGAATTGATTTATTTCTCTTGTGACCACTCGAAGCTCTTTAACACCGTCATCATTCACCCATTCACACACATTCACACACATTGACACACTGATGGCAGGACTACCATACAAGGAGCCACCTGCCCATCAGGATCTAATCCAATCACTCACACTCACACCCCGATGCAGCCTTCAGGAGACATTTGGGGTCGAGTATGTTGCCCGAGGATGCTCCGACATGTGGACTGACGGAGCCGCTCTACCTCTGAGCGACAGTGTGAAACGTTATGCATCCAAGAGATCACACCGGTCAGAGAGTCGACCTCGATGGGCTGCAATGCTGTGTGCGTGTGTGTGTGTGTGTGTGTGGCACATGTGTCACAGTGCACAGCGTACGGTGGGCACTCACCTTGTCCCTGATGTTCACGTCGGCCCCTCTGGCCAGCAGCAGGTGGACCAGCTCCTTGTGCTTGTACTCAATGGCCCAGGTGATGGGAGTCCATCCCCCGTCGTCCTGCACAGACGCAGGCGGTTAGTCCCGTGCACAGATGTACACCAACATATGAATATTAATGAGCTGTTGGTGTGTGACTCTACCTGACCGTTGACGTGTCTGGATGCTTTGGAGAGCAGATGATGAACAATATCACAATGTCCCAGTTTAGCAGCCAGATGCAGACAGGTGAACCCGATGATGTCCTGGGACGACAACATGAGTCACATTCAACCGGAGCCGTTTCACTTGTAGACGATTTAATCAATAATAATTAAATATCAAAGTATGTAACTTATCAATAACTCCATTATGAATCGTAAACGCATCAATTAGTACGAACAAGATGATGGTACTCAGCTTCTGCTATAAGACACCATCAGATCCAGTAACAGAGTTTAACATTAGATTAAACTCAGGACACCAGGGAAAACAATGTGATATTAATGAATTAAAGCTTAATCTCAGGGTCGCTACGGAGTTCTTCTCAAGGTGTGCAGCGACTTATTGTTTCATAATAATATGATCAAGTTCTTTATAGATGAATATTTATTTGACTAACTACACTAAACAGAAAATAAATGAATAAACGATAAAAAGTAGAAATGAATGAACTGAACAAAGAATATGACGAAGTGTACAATGAATAAGGATGAAGAGGATTACATGTGACCAGATTCACTGACTCACATCGTTAATTGATGTCCATCGATTACATTTGTTCGACGTTAATAACGTCATCACAAAATATAAATATAAATAATACATTTGGTTGAAAAGATGTTGAGCAGCTGAGAGTTTGAGAAGCAGCTGGGAGACTGTGCAGATGCTTCCATGATGACTATCATAACTGAACCATACACAATCTAATATCTACTGACTTCATGAATTAAAATGTTAAGATGAAGTCTCACATCAGAGTTGGTGATTGATGGAGTAGCTGAAAGCTAACAGATGGTTGTGATGAGTTCTTTCTGTTGTACAGTGATCAGCGAGGTCAGGTGAGTGGTGTCTGAATGGAGTCTGTGACTCTGAAGGACAGCATGTTAACTGTATATTTGTACTTCACAGTGTGCCACACAGCATAGCGCTGGAGGAGGGTCAGGTCCTCCATGTTTCCATCACTGCTGAAGGGAGCGGAGCTGATCGATACCGGGACGACTGCTGAGTCATTCGTCCCGGGAATAACAGACGTTAGGAGCGTTTGTTTAGTGGGAAAGTGGTCCAAGTCTTCTGAACCAGACAAACTGTCCTTAACTGCACATTCTTCAACCTGATGAATGTTTCATCATAAAGATGAATTGCGAGGTGTCGGGGCGGGAGGCCTAGCAGACCCAGAACAACAAGAACCTCTAACAGTGTCGCTGTCACTGACGTGTTGCACTGTGACTGATCCCCTCTGGAAGAGAGACGAGAGCGCCACGTCAGCACAAAACATCTCTCTAAAGCAAAGTAGTCCACGACTGGGATGTGAGGCGGTGAAGAGGCGGTGATACTCTCAGTAGAGTATTACAGCCGGCAGGAGGTGAGGACTGTTTAGACCCTGAGCTGTAGACAAATGTACCAACACAGAGAATTACATCTAACAAGCATCTCAGCAAGCTGACACACCATGTAGAGGATGTGGTTAACACACCTGCTGAGCCAGCAGCTTCTTCCTACAGGGAGGGGTCATCTTTGTTTCAAAGGTCCCTTTAACATTTAGCAAACTGAACCGAAGACACTTGTACAGACCAGTCTAAATGTGTGTGTGGGACCAGACTGAGCTGCACTGGTTCCTGTGGACACACTGCTTAACTGGTTAGATTTCTGTTTCTCTCCCATAATATGTCACCAGACTGTTACTCTAATCATCAGTGGAGAGAACCAGGCAGCATGGCGACATACAAAGAAGAGTGTGATGTGCATTAAAGTACAATACATTTCAAAGAAACACTTTTGTTTCTATTCAATTAGCATATCGTTCTCTCTGCACACTATGAGATACATCTGTACGGACCTGATGCTGTTGTGAACCCGCAGTAAAGACCGTTTCCTCAGCCGTCCATCATGCCCCACAGGAAACACATGTTGGGATATCTCTGAGGATCACATGTCCACTTCTCCACTACAACCTGCCTCCAAAGCCGTGCTGCACAAAGCTACTTCCAAACAACTCCAACAGCTCTGGACAGTCACTGAACAGAATTGGGAGAACAACCTACAAGCCACAGTCAACAGCCTCATTAACTCACAGACGCCTTCTTCTCCAGGAGCCCAGAGTCTCACCAGCGGAGGAACATCTGAGAACCACACATCCAAGAGATGTTGATTTGTCTTCATTTATGGTCCTGAACGACATACAAGCTTTGCATTTTAATGTTTTTTCAATGTTTGCTTAGCTCGATGGTATCATTTCTTTCTTCCATGATGATGTAAACTGGTTCTGGTTCTTTTAGAATGTGCTGCTACATCAGCCATCAACAGGAGCAATATGTTCTCAGGAGGTAAAAACAACACGATTGGTGTCGAGTAGTGCAGAAGGGTGATGGAGTGAGACTGCACCGACCCACCTTGTGGCCGACGGCTGCTCCAGCTCTCAGCAGGTACTTCACTGTGTCCAGGTGGCTGTTTTCACAGGCCGCCATCAGCGGGGTCCTCTGCTGCTCATCAAACATGTCCAGGTTGGCTCCAGCCTATAGTACGAGTGCACGCGCACACACACACACACACACACACACACACACACTAAAGACACGGACCAGCAGGGTTTCTGGGCTCCACAGCTATCGTGGTGCCTGCTGCACTTGAACACGTGGGATTTATTCTGCTGACTCCACACTAAAGCAGAGAATGGTGCCAGTTCAGTTCAGTTCAACGTCTCGTACGTTAGTGGAATCTCACGGTCTGATTTGAAAACTTATTTTGCTTTCATGTGGGGTCAGATCAGTCTGCATATCAATGAATGTACACAGATTCACAGATGTATTTTGATGCTCACAACAGTTGTTCATGTTTTAAATAAATAGAAATCGACAAATTAATGTGTTTTAAAGGATTTTAACATAATGTGGATGTTGTTACATTTATATGCAAAGTGCTGAACCTGCATTTACAAACTGCTCTTCATGTGTGAACTTCACTGCAGTTGCTCCATTTACAAATAGCCGTCATACTAAGGTAGAGAACGGGTGGAAGTCAAGAGGAGGAAACATCTGGATGTTAATGCTACCTTCAAAAATAACGTAAAGGAGTCACAAACACACAGGTGATGAAGACATGCAGGCCCTGAGGTGCAGCCTGTAGTGATGTGGGTCTCCTCACCTGGACCAGCATGTGGCAGATCTCCTGGTGGCCCTCAGCAGCTGCTGCATGAAGAGGGGTGCCTTTATTTGGGCCCTCCATCAGAAAGTTGGGGTCCTTCCCGTCAACTTCAATGTACAAAGTTTGGTCCATTAGTGTGATAACAAAGATGCTCAAACATATAGATTGAGTGACTGTAAGCGGAGCTGCTTTGTGTCCAGTAGCACATGGAGTTACCCAGGAGATGAAGGACCTTCTGGAGCTCTCCTTCTTTAGCAGAGATGTACAGCTGTCGGGGGGGGTACTTCACCTTCTTTGGTTTCAGGCTACAAAGGATAAAGAGATGCAAACTGTGGTTCCATGCTGTACCTTTAGAACACTGAATGTTCCACGGTGAACCTTACTTGTCATCATCCAGCGCCATCAGGATGCTCTCTAGTGACTCTTTAGGCTGTCGGTCCACAACACACACAGCCTCGCTGTTTACACTGCAGAGAGAATGACAGCTGGGATCATCCTTTCAATAGCTGTGATGATGATGATAATAATAATAATAACTTTATTTATATAACAGCGTTAAAAACAGAGTTCACAAAGTGCTTTCACAGTCAAAGCAGCAAAAACAAGACAACAGTAACAGAAAGCTCAGTGAGACCGGTAGACATGTTTAAAATAAACTAAGAAATGAATCAAATCAAATAATCAATACAAATAATTAAAAAATGAAAAGAATAAAATAGAAATATACACACATACACACACAATAATATTATATAATTAGTAAAATCAACAAATAAAACTAAAACTGAATGAGAACAGGAAAGCGACGACATCACATCAAAGCCAGTCTGCAAGAATGTGTTTGTGACATCAGTGATGTCTCTGTGACAACACGTTACCTGCTCGGGCTTTCATTCCTGCTCCTCTGGGGCTCGCTGGTCTTCTTAGCTCGGAGTATCTGTGGAACAGCAGGCACGGTTGGGACTGAAGGCAGGGTGGCCACTGGGAGTGCCGGCCCAGGGTTTGATCTGGGTACAGAGGGACACGGATCAGCCCTGGACACCGTGACCTCCTTCGCACCGCTGGCGTCCTCTCCGCAGTGAGGGCAAAACCTGAGATCCCTCAAGATGGAAGCACAGTCGCGGTGAAAGCGGTGGGAGATGCTGCCGTACGGCCTGCACTCCATGAAGGAGCCCTGTGGGACGGACCAGGAGAACACTGTGTTAAGGTTTAGAAGTGCAGTATCTCAATATATTCTAATATACAGTATATATACCATATAATAAATATGTGGTGATCAAAAGTGAAAACAACATCAGACACATTTAGAGCTGGGGTTCCCGACCGGTCTGAGTGCCCCTACAACACTTGTCAGGTTCCAAACATGTCCATTTGAATTGATGTTATTCAACGCCATCATTGATCAAAGTCAGGTTTGGTGAACTTTGCATCGGCACTGCTACGAGCTTAGAGAGACAGAAGCTTCAACGATCTGTAAACATTGTTTAGCTTTCTATGTCACCATGAGTCCATTACTTTCAGCTACTCAGGGCTCCAGACCCAAACCAACATGGTCGCATATGCTATCATTTAAATTCTAAAATGTCACATGGTCATTCTCATTGGTGCCCTGCAGCAGCCACAGTCTGCTCCGTCCCGCCTCCAAAGTCAACTTGATGAGCGGGCGTTGAGCAGGTGCGAGCGCGTAGGAGGTGTGAAAGCTTTCAGCGCACCAACATCGTTTCATTCAGACGTGTTACCGGTGTGTGACGTGGCCTCCTGTGAGGTCCGATAGTTCAGCACACTAGCGCTCAGTACCTTCACTGCGTACCTGCTAGGCTACCGCGTGTATGTATATACGTGTACTTTGCTGAGCTGTAGCAAACGCCACACCTGCTTGTACGTGTAATCTCGTATGCACTCGAACACAGTTTGACTGACAGCTCGGCGTGCATGTAGGGAGGAGGGCTCTGTGTTTTCACCACTATTCCTACACGGGGCATTCCACTCTTTTAAATGTATTTCACATATTTCTGCTTCCTTCAGCCTCTTTCTGAACAAACCAAGTACAGCACTCCATGTTTCATAGAAAGGATATTCACTAAACAGCTCTGCTTTTAGTTGCTGTTTATATCAATTATATTTCATGATCATATTATTATACGTTTTTGTTTTGTCCATCAACTCTGACTGTCTTTGTGCACCAAGCATCATTGACTCAAACACAGACTCCGCCTCCTCTTGGCCTGCTACAGCAGGGTTCATGCTCGACTGTTCTTTTTAATAATAATAACTCTAGAGCGATATATAACAACCTCCGGATATATGTTTTAAATAGCCAAAGAACAAACTGGATCCAAGTTCCATGAATGCATTTTATTAAAAGTCAGCAGAATGAACTCAGCATGTAATCTACTGTACAACAGTAAAAACAAATAGCCTGGCTATTGTTAATTAAATAAAGAAATTAATTAGTCAATCAATGTAGGTTAATGTCTATTTCATTAACAACAGCTGCTGTTATACGTTTGTGCATCTGTTTTTCTTTGCTTGCTGTCAGATATGAACACCAGTGTCGATGGTGTCTTTGTGTTGTGTAGCTCCGGCTCTACCAGGAGTCGGAGTGCGTTAGTGTCGTAGTGAGCGGTGCTCTCCAAGGTGCTGAAACTGCTGCTGGGAGCTACAGCTGGGAACCGTCCATGTAGCCTTTGTGTCTGTTCATACATGATTATTAAGAATCGATAAGTTAGATGAACAATAAGGTTATTGGTCTGAATTCCGTGTTTGTCTCATTTAAAACAGCGTTGTGTGGCTTGTAGGGCTGCACACAATATTTGGAAGATGCGTTGATAACATCGATATTAGAATTATCATTAATAATCAACAGATACCTTCTCTTCCCCCCTCAGTCCTCTCTGGACTCGTCTCAAAAGTCAACATTTATTGAACAAAGATAAATGAACAAAAAATTCACAACATCATTTGATCTAACGAAATATTCTGCTCCAATACATATTTGTTGTCGTTCAGCTTCTTCCCTTCGGCGTGTAGCACCAGATGAGAACACGTGCAGCCCTCCCAGCTCCACACAGGCCCAGTGATCAGAGCGTCAGTGCAGTGTGCTGATGTTACACGTACAGGCCGGTGAGGCGTACGCTGCATTAAATCGCGTTAGCGTACATTACGCTAACGCGATTTGTCAATCGATGTGAGCCCCACATCTAAAGGATACAACGCTCGCCAGAGCTACGTCACACGCACTCTCCACTGTGCGCGTCTGTAAGGTGTTGCGTGCGCTAAGCAGTTTGGTCGGATAGCAAATGTCTTCAGAAGGCGCTAGCGAGGCCTTTGATGTTGGTGTGCTGAACACTTTCACGCCTCATACTCAGAACGCAGCGGGGGAGAACGTAACCAACACGATCCATTTAATTAATTTGTGTCGAGGAAACAGCTGTTTCAGAGTCAGACACTGTCTTTGTATGGGAACAAATTCAAGAATACAAATGTAAGTCACAACCCTTCACATGAATAAGATTATGTTTTTAAAAAAATGCATCGAACGCCCTCTGATGGTCTCTACAGCTACCTGCTCATACGGAGGATGTTTCAGTACACAGCCCAGCAACAATATCTGTTTTGTGACATTAATCAAATGTAATATAACAGCGATTGGAAACATGAGCAGTGTTTCCCACATAGACGATACTTTGACAGGCCCAGTTTGGCTTTTTTTTTTAAACGAGTGGACTAGTGGAGGCAGAACAGCGGGTGGACACTGCGGGTGGACAGCTCGCCGCTGCTTTAGCTGTCCGGGCTGGACCCACAGTGGGACGACAGAGTGGCAGTCTGACATAGTGGTACATGGACTGGACTTGTAGAACGCTTTTATAGTATTCCGACCAGTCAGAGCGCTTTAACGCTACATGTCATCAGTCACACACGTATGCCCATCAGGACTAACTAACACGCTACGGAAGCAGCTTGGGGTTAAGTGTCTTGCCCAAGGACACATGAACATGGACTAGCAGAGCCGGGGATCGAACCACCGACCCTCCGATTGAGGGACCACCCTGCTCTACCACTGAGCCTGCTGCTGGACTCTGCTCACCAGGGACTGGATCACCGGTATGGACGACACTCTGCAGAGCACGGAGGATGATCCCACGGTCGCCCCTCATCGGACTGACAGGCTTCTAGTGAGCCACTGTGCACACACGGCTCCGTCTGTATTCAGTGACTTTGTTTTTAAGGAATCTTGTAAGCCGTAGTTCTTCTGCTTCATGTTTCGTTGTAGTGACTGCTGGTTACTGTTGTTACTGATGCAACACAACACATTAACACATCAGTGTTTTCTGTCGATTGGCTGATGGCAGTCAACGTTGAGAAGATATCTGCTGATACCGATGTTTGGCTGATCAATGGGTGCATTCCTATGTAAGCATATATAATATATAATCATGGACAGAGTCACTCACTCACTGTGCAGCCACATGTGCTCTTCAGCTGTTATTATACATCAGATTATTATTGATGCACTAACATGGAAGATGCATTTTGCATCTGCAATAGTGAAACTTATATTCATCTTAATGCTGTTGCGTGGTTTCACTGACAGTAAGACATGCGTTCTATTTCATCTCCTCGTGAATGTATGTTCATGAATGTATGTTTTTAAAGCAACTCTTTAATTATTGGACTCAAACGTACCCGTGTCATGTGATGTATGTTGCTTCAGTACACTGAACTAACAGGTATGGAAGGTACACCAGTAAGAATTTGCCCGACATGAATTTTGATTGTACCGTGCCGACCCGTAGAGCTGTTTCAATTTCTTCACATACACACACGTGCCCCCCCGCATCGTAGCTTTACGTCAGCACACACACGGTAAAGCCACACACACACACACACACACACACACACACACACACACACACACACAC